TGCTGAATAATGTGTTACGCACATGCTTTTGTGATTTGCTGAATCAGGGTTTAAGTGAAGATACCAGAGATTATATCAGTATGGTAATTTTTTTTTCTTGGACTTAAAGCTTATTAGCTGTTCAATATGATGAAGCTCTGCTTTGAGGTACAGTGGCAGAGCTCTACTTCAAGCTCTGATTTTTTTTTCTCTCAAGTAATGTCAGTCCCACAACTTTTAATATGCCCTGAATTCAATGTGAAATGTACCATTTGAGTAAAGTTAATTTTAATTATCTGTAGTGCAATTTTAAAATTCAGTTTAAAAATCCTTTATATAAAAATGAATAAGAAAAACATGACAGTGAGCTAAAGTTTCATAGTCAGGCGTAGAAGTTATTTTCAAGATATTCAAGTTCCCTCTTTCACTGTGGACTTCTGGTTTCAGTTAAGTATCTCCAGGCAAGTCTGCTGTGAGGGATGACATCCTGTTAATGTCAGTGTTTAACTTCAGTCCTTCAATGACTCTTTGCTTTTGGACTGTCTCTCTGCTGTCAGCATATTGTTCATATTTTATCCTGTCAGCATATTCCTTTGCTCAACAGACCCATGAGCACGCCTCTTAATTTGGCCTCTTTCTGGATTCTTACTTTGAGCATTGTCCATTGGTTTCCCTTATTACCTTTCGTTAACATATCCAATCATTTCATCCCTCTGATTCTGATGGTTAGTGCCAAGTTCAGTTAATTTGAGCTTGCGAGTCGGTGGACTTATCTGCTACTCTCCACCATTAAAATCATGGAGACCTCTACCTCATCTTCTCTTCCTCTCTTCTGCCACGTCTTTGATATCAAGTTATTTTTTGGGAGTATGGATGGTCTCTCATGATTATGATCGTACAGATGAGGTCAGTCTTCCGCAGGGCTCCTCCACCCCTACACCCTGCCCACTTCCACTTGGGTGATGAGTCATCTTTTCCCACTGGCACCGAGTGCAAATTGCTGGTGCTCAGGTCCCCTCTGTCTCAGATTGGCTGCAGGCCTCAGGAGAGAGGGATGGTCATGCCTCTGTGAGAGCTGCCTCATCTTGGGTATCTAAACTCAGCTTGTGGTATTATTCTTTTTCTCTGGGGTCAGCAGATCCCTGGGAAATGTTTTTTCTGCCTGCCAGCCCCATGGGTTCACACTCGGATGTCTCAGATGTTGACTCTCTGATTTGATTACTTTGAACTCAGGTGTGCAGGGGGTCAGTCTTTCCCCTACGATGTTTACCTAGTCTGGGATTACGGAACTATACAATAGAAGAAAAACTTCTGAGCCTGTTTTGGGCTCCAGTTCTACTATTGGTAGCTGCTTGAGCCTGCGGGCTCTTTGACTTCAGTTTCTCCAGACAAATCACTCCTTTCTCCGGGACAGTCTCAGACCTTCTGAGGCTCACTGCCTCTTCTTGCCCTCTCTCCTGAAAGTTTAACAATCTTTCATTGAGGTACTCTTCCTCTTGGTGGTCCCCAGGTTCCCTAACTGAATTATACACCTACAAGCCCCCTACCATCTGGCTGCACTTAACTGTTCCACTGATCATATTGGCTTCATACTCAGGGTCGCAGTCTCCCTGGCATCTCACACGGGTTCATCTGGCTTAATTCTGGCTCTGGCAGAGCCCTTCTCTCTCTCTGTCTGTTTGGCTGCAGTGTCTCCTCCTCTCCTCCACACTGAACGCCTCTCTCAGTGTTCTCTCTTTAAGCTTCCCAGGCTTTCCTGGGAGCAATCAGCAGAGGCCCTCAGGTCACATGTTCCTTGGGTCAGGAATGGGAGCTTAACACCTTTTCCCAGAGCTCCTTCCAGAGTGCTGGGGAAGCATTGCCTGCTCAGGACCCTGCCAGGTAAGTCTCCCTCCCCCGATGCTTCCTCAGTCACATCATCTGTCCAGCCCCTGCCAAAAGAGTCCCACACCTCCTGGCATCCTACCTCAATGTGTTGGGCAGCGGGGCTCTCCCAGACTCAACTGGGTGAGTTTCAGGCTTGACAACAAATCTGGCAACAAAACTGTTACTATGTTGTATTAGAAAAACTTCTTACAGTGATAGAAAAGGAAAGAAACTTCATGCAATCAAACTGAAGGCCATAAGCTGTTTGCAAGAGGCAAGGCTAGCTGATAATGCAGACACTGGCAAAGTAAAAAGTTCAGATAACAATGGGGCTATACAGAATTTAAGCAACAATTAAATAAGGTTAAATGTAAACACATTTTCAACAATAAATTCACCACTCTATAAATGGATGCAACTTTAAAGCATAAAATATGACAAGCTACCCTAACAGATGGCCTGTATGTCTTAATAAATAAAAAGACTTTCTGTGATTCAATGCAGACTTGTTCATAATTCTGATGGTACACCTACTATATAATTAAG